TTAAGCGATATATGTAATCGCTTATATATCGCTTAAGCGATCATGGACAATACATGCATATTTTTTCCAGCTTTTCTTCTGAATTTTGACAAACTAAAATCATCAACACATATTAATTCCATATTTTCTCCTGAATTTGACAACCTAATTGCATCAACACATCAATGACATGTAACAAGAGTACTAAATAAACTCAAACTCAAAAGAGGAAAAGAAATACTGAATTACTTTTGTACAAATCTGAAATGTATCAATTACTAGGGTTGTGCAAAACCGGGTACCTGAACTGATTTTGCTCTACCCCTAAAAGAGTACCCGCAAACCGAACCGCTTTTAAGGGTACCCGGTTTTTAGGGTAAAAAACCGGATACTCGGTTAATGACCCGAATTTGTATAACTTTGCATGAATTTTAAGTTTTTACATTTCAAATTTCAATTTGTGAATACAATTTCTTCCATATACTAAATCAACTTTTAATTTAATAACTTAAATACTTAAGATTTGGGGCTTTTGCCTTTTGCTCTTTGAAAGTTAAAGGAAAATAGGTTTAAAAACTAGGTTATTTATTTATTTTTTATTTCTTAATAACCGCGTACCCAGTTCTCTTAAAACAAATACCCGATACCCGAACCGAAATTCGGGTATCACATAATAAATACCCGAAACCGACCCAAATTTTCGGGTATTCAAAAATTCGGGATCGGTTCGGTTTGGTTAGCGTGTTCGGTTCGGTTAACGGTTTTTTTTTTGCACACCCCTATCAATTACATTAAATTGCAACATTATATACAACAAATAAATGTCCTATACACACCCAAAACAAAAGCAGGGTCGACAGCCTCCATCCCCCATTCATCATTCTCCTCAGCCACTTCCCCATCCTTCAAAATTATTCAGCACACATTCAGCATCAGTAGTAGTAGCAACCACCTCTTCGTCTTCTTCTACAATACCCCTTCCAACATTATTTAGCCTTGGCCTTGGCCACAAAGCATACATTACACCACAACCCAAGTATCAATAGCCTGATGCCTAACAACACCAGCTGATCCAATTCAAGGCAATCAAATTATTCAAGACAACCCAATAAGACAACATCACATAAACTACAAAATTCTAAGTCCAACTTCCATACCTTTTGATGACAGTATCAGTAATGACTTGGATTGAGTTCTGGTCAATCAAAAGGGATCCATATGTCCATGGAAGCACTCAATAGCCCAGTGCTCCCAATAATTGCTCATTGTTTCGTCATTCAAGCTGTCCATCAGGGTGTTGGTCATGTCAAACTCAATAAATTTGAGTGCATATGCCCTGCAATCAGCATTACAATAGGAGAAAGACATTATCATTATAATCAGCTTATAGAACAATTGTATTACGTAAGTTTTATATAAAATTGATCTTGAGTCATTTTTCAGGACATGAAGGCGCTTGAGTGGCCACTTTCCCGTCAGTAGTTCATCACTTAAGTGCCGAAACATCCTGTTACGCGCAACAGTAGTGGGAACAATATACATAGCGGCTGTAACTCCATCTCTAATTACCTCTCTCGACAAATACTTGGGTTGCAGTCAAGGATCTGCAGCAAGCCCTCCTCTAGTAGTGCAACGACGGTTATCCAATGCATATCCCTGATGTTTATGATGCAGTATACTCTTTTAACGTTTGCTCAACTGTTGCCATGATTGGGCCTTTCCCCCTATACATACTGTATCATTCTGTCATCAAACTAAAAATCATCAAAGACACCGTCAAAGTCATCTGTGGCCAATCTTTTCTGCTTGCCTCCCTTTGTTGCACCTCCACCATTGGCCTTTTTCATTAAAATGTCATATGTAGTTACTAGCGTTTGGCCAAAGGCTACATCGGTGATGGCACAATACAGATACAAAATATCACCATTATTGCTCTGTCGTAGCCTCATAAGTGCTAATACCTTATTGATGTATTGCATCAAATAAAAACAACATGATAAGTATACAATACCTCATGGAAAACATAAGCAAAAATAAGGAAAAATAAGGGAAAATAACTCATCGAGTCTTCGAGCCACCTATCCATTATCAACATCTTTTCAAACCACTTCCGAGGATAATCCCCAGTCTTGCACTTCACATGCCTATCACTTCCAGAATCTTTGTAATAGGCATAGAAGGGTTTTTTTTCTTTTCCTCATCTATTGGCCTATACATTGACCTTTAACTCCTCCGTTTTCACTTGCCCACTTCTTCCGCCTTCCTCCTCCATTTTCACTTCCCCACTTCCTCTGCCTTCCTCCTTACCCTCCTCCATTTTTGTTTCTCCACTTTCACAGACTTCCTCATTTTTTTTTATTCGTTTTCCTCTTCTTTCCATACGTTGCTGCCGTGTAAGGAGAAAGTATGTGCTTACTCTTTCGGCTCTCTCTTTTATGCTCAAGTTGCACTTCAACCACTTTCAATACCCCACCAACTTCCTCCTCCACTCTACCAACTTTCTTAGTCACCCTATCAACTTTCTTCTCCACCCTATCAATTTTCTCTTCCACCCTTTTCATCTGCTCTTCCATCTTCTTAAGCCTCTCATAAACGGCTATTGTAAAACTCTCAAACAAACTTTTTATGAGGTCAACTACCTCATTCTCTCGACCCCGACGCCTCGGCAAAGCGGTACTTATTGTACAAGTTTGCCAATTAGGTGGAAGCGTACTAACCTCTTCATCCTCCTCCTCCCTCTCGCCGATTGGAGCTTCATCATCCTCGTCGTCAACAACATTCTAAAGCAGTGGCCCTACAACTGCACTCACATGCGTGATCCCTTTTAGGTCCTGATTTGGCGGTCTATCCCTTCATCTGCTGCATCGTGCAGTGCTTTGAACGATGTAACATACTCCTCTCTCGCTTCACCCCTAGTAATGGTGAGGAAGGGACAGACGACTCCCTACAATAAGAAAAAAAATCAATCAAATTTAAGCCACATTTAAAAGCAAGTGCATATTCAAAAGATTAATCCTTTAATCTTACTCGAGCTGCTTGAATTTCCATGTCTATTTTGTCGTAATATCAATGGGTACACTTCTTGATATGCTATCGCAACATCCTAGGAAATTGCAGTCACTCATCCGAAGTCTTCTTCCTCCCTTCCCTCCCCCCCGGGCTTAGCTAGGATAAGGACAACCTCATACATCTAAGCCTACATTGTAAAAAAACAGTCCATATCATAATTAAAACACATATAATACAAAAAATATAACAAAAAGCTATTGATATTTACCTGCATTGCCCGTGCGAAGCCAAACAAATTGTACGTGCTCAGTCTATTCTTCTCGACAGATTAGCAATGCTTTAAGGCCATGTCTTTTCCTTGCAGGGAGTCCATGGTTAGCTGAAATGATACCCGTCCCCACCAATAAGCATTAAAGAAGTCCACGTTACTTGCAAACTTCACCCAATCCATATTCACGACTTTTGTTAAGTCAAAAGGCATTAGGAGCGAATGCACAAACCATACCAGACACATCTTGAACTTCTCTGAAGAGGTGTACCCACCTTCTTCTAACCTTTCCTCTAAATCGCGTCACGTAATAGACGCCTTCCCCCCCAAAACCTTTTTAGCCAAGTTATCGGTTGCCCTATTCTTCTTTATTCTCTCTTGCTCTTCCGCATCTGGAAATGCCCCACATCTCAAGCCTATCATCAGGGCATATTCCATCATCCCAAAATGTAGTGGCTTCCCATCCACCATGAACCACATTTCATTTTTTTTTTTTTTTTGCCTTTTAACTAAGTACAACAATATATAATGCACTCCCTGCCCCCAGAATGCCTTTTTTCAATTTTCTCCGATGCTCACAAAATGACCGAAACAACTCTCTTTGAATCGGTCCATACCCTTCTTTTGTTCCTATAAAATCTCCATTATTCTTGTAAAAACTTGTCAACTCGACCTAATTGTCACCCGTACACGGGGAAGTACGGTACCTTATCGCTTACAATCTCCAACCCATAGTCTTTATAATTTACACTTCGGAAAATCTGCACAATCGATATAAACTAAATATCAGCAAAAAAAAGAAACCAAAACAACCAATAGGCTGTCAATTTGGGGGATATGGGCTTCGAGGGCATCAGGGAGTGGGTGTTTTTGACCTCGAGAGGACCGAGGAAGCCAATGCAAGCCCTATAAAGGCTGTTGTGGCAGGTTCCATGAGGTAACAGTCCCCCCAGTCCGCCACCTCCTGCCATCCCCAGCCCTCCAACCTCCCATAAACAACCTCCGTACGACTTCCCTTGCCTTCCCCCATCCTCTGGAACCCAATCAAAGCCACTCACTCGATGCCTACCAATTGCTCGACAAAATGCCACAACCACTGTAACAATAAAACCAACTACATATCCCCCAAATTCGCACAAATCAATCAATTTTCTTATCAAATTCAAAACCACAAGTAAAAAACGTATCATTTCTTCATCAGCGTCCTCCTCCTTGCTTGAATTCTCACTGGCGTCCTTCTCTTCAAAACCATTTTTCGATTCTTCTCTCTGTTCTTGTGTCGCCGTTGTCTCCTCTGCCTTTGGACCACTTGACTCATTCGATGATCCATCAAAGCCTCTTCTTCGACAATCTTTGAACTGCCGCCGCCGCCGAAGTCTAGGATTTGGAGTGGGGTTGGATTTTCCTCTTCTTTGTGAATATCAATCATAATTTTGTATAAGAAAACTTTATGATCAAATATTTTCCGAAAATAGAGCACTTTTGTTGCCGAAAATCCTAGAAAAATCAAAAGTGTTCGTCAGTCGTTTTTTGGGTATATAGCTCGATTAAGCGATTTTGAAGGGTGGGGGTCGTTTTTAATTTTTACAAATTTTCATTAATTATAATATTACCTACATATGTTTAAAATTTTTTAATTTAACTTGTTTCAATGTATCATAAGTGTGTCACGTTAGTTTTTGTAAATTAAAAAAATTACAAAATAATCATTTTCTTAAATGCAAACTTGGGAGCTCTGGCCAGTCAAATTTCCTCGTTGTTTGTAGGCTACCTTTATTCCTTTTTCAAAAGCCAACTCCTTAAATGGAACCTTAGTCGCGAAGGCTAAGCCAAAAGTTTCGATTTTTTTTTTGTTTTCATTTTCCAGTTAGAATTTTATTATGGGAGGCGGAGCAGCCATTAGAGCCATGGCCGCCGGTAAGGTCGCCGGGGTAGGCGTTTTCAACGGTGGGATTCGTGGCGGCTTGTCTTCTGCAACCGCCACGGCCCCGCCCGCATCACAATCCCTGCAAAACGCTTCGCGACCCGTAGGCGGAATCTTGTCGAGCGGGAAGGTTTCCGCTGGAGGTGACGTTGCGGAGGCGCAGAAAGCCTTGTGGGAATTGGATGACTGGGGGTTCGCCGGAGGAGAAAATGATTTTCTGGTGGCACCAGAGCCAAAATCGTCTGAGCCAATAGCTAGGGTTATATTTGGGGGTGCGCCAAGCCTCGAGGAGGCTAAGGAAGCCACGTCCGAACTCAAAGAAGCGTTGAAAAAGTGATTTTGTTTTCCAAAATTCTGATCCGTGTGAATATTTATTCAAAGCTTTTATTGTTTTTAATTGCATGTGTTAGTGTACCACATCCGTATCTTTAAATGGTAATTTAAATATGATCATACTAATTATTAACATATAAATTTATTGTGGTAGATTTTTAAGGGTATCTATACCCACAGTTATGGTAAAACTGCGTATTTTTCAGAATTGATTGTGTTCCCTTGGTGTTTGATAGATGGATTTTGTTTGATTGCAGGGTATATTTTTCATCTGAGAATTCCAGTGTGAGTGAATATGATGGTGTAGTGCCGGTTGCTGCGGTGGCAGGGCTGCCATTGGTTGCAAACTCTGAATCTTTGGAGACCAAGAGCTGTATCTCATGTGACCCAAAATCTGTCACCGGACCAAAACATGCTATTCAGGCGTTTAAATTCCTTTGCGAGAATGCTTCAGCTCAGGTCTTTCTGATTCAGTTCCCTCTCTCTTTTTAGTTGCTTATAGTTGTTTATGTTTTTGAATGCATATCTTTAGCAGTTCAGTAATGTGAAGACTTTTGTGTTATTTTCGCCAACTGAGTTGTTACTTTTAGATCATTGGCTTTGACAATATTTTTTTAATTTTGGTTTTGTGACCAGACTGTTGTTGCATCAATTGCTACTGACTCAAATGTCTGGAATGCTGTCATGCAAAATGACGATCTGATCCAATTCATACGGTCCCAGAAAAACAGTAAGATTTTTTTTTTTCGTTAGATTTTTATTAGCAGAACTAGTTTTCTTGAGAGGATCTTTGGTGGAAAGGATGCAGTTGACTGCATATACTTTAAATTTTTTTTTTTTACCACCTTTCCTTTGATATGGATCTGAGCATGGGTTAACTTTTTGCAGATAATATGTTTCAAGATCAGGGATCTCCCGGAGAGATTGAGGAATTATCTGATTTGAGCAAAGAAGAAGATACTTTAAGCCATTCTGGAGACAGTGGAGGCCAAAGCCGGTTCAAGCCCATGGCTGTTCTTTGGAAGATCAAGGATAGGGTGGTTGAATTGGGAAGAATAACCAAGGATAGGGTGGCTGGATTGGGAAGAACAACCAAGGATAGTGTGGTTGAATTGGGAAGAAGAATAACCAAGGATAGTGTGGTTGAATTGGGAAGAACAACCAAGGATAGTGTGTTTGAATTGGGAAGAACAACCGGCGATCGAGTGGCTGAGATGGTGAGCAATGTGGGTAATTATCTACAGAACATCTTTGGCACACCCGCAGCTGATAAGACTTATGCAGGAGCAGATGGCAAACCAGCAGAAGCAGATGGCAAACCAGACTATTTTGAAAAGGCCATTGGACTGACCATTATGGCGATCGTGGTGATTGTGCTGAAGCGACCTTATAAGTTTATATAATCTAGCAAACTACCTGAAAATTTGCCGAACTTACAAACTCTTTGGATGTGTTTCTCTATTTTGATGCATTAATATATACTAAAATTTGATATGCAGTAGTTCACGAGGTTACAGTGCTTCACATGGAATAAATTTGCTTGTTCCCCTCACCATTAGCATATTGCGAAATACTGTGTTAAACCAGAGATTGTTTTTTTCAAGTCATTTAAGTGCTAGCTGCTGAAATTGATATCAAATGTTCTAGGTAAAACAGATCTTTATCATTAACAGATGAATTGAATAAAGAAAATTTGAAGTGACTGATATCATTCTCACGCAACAGGGGAATACTGAAGTAACTGAACAAATGATTTTGGCAAGGAAATTTCTGACCAATGCTTTCGCTCTCATGGAATTTTCCAGTACATGTTATGCATTCACCAAAGGGTTCTGTTTTGTCTGTAACTTGTATTTTTGTTTTAAAGATACAAACTAGTCCTTAAAGTGGTATTTTCTCAGAAAGGGCGTTTGAAAAATTATTTAAGTATGTATTCATGAATCTACAAAATTGAATCTAATTTAAGAGATTTGAGTTCAATTGTTCTTGTAGTTGGCCAGGTGGTCTCCATGCTTTGACCACTCTTTTGCTACATTTTTGTTGTTACATTTATGAGTACGTACATGACATCGATCTCATTCAGGAATTTCCAGCCGTCGGATGTCCATACTTTGACTACAAGAAAAAAATCTAGGCGTATTAATGGGGTCCCACAAAATTGAGGGGATCGACGTCACCTTGAAACTCACGTAGGCCCCACCGTTCTTTCCTCGCACATGACGATGTCCACGTGGCGACATTTTTCAATTGCCACGAACACAGTACTATACATCGACTCTCCATCTCCTTTCACTCAAAATTATCCTCTACATCACCAGCGGAAAGCTGTCATAAATTCTAATATCGAAGGTGTCCGAGTACCGTCGATGTTAAGACCATTTTCTGTATGAATACGTGTTAATAAATCATTGGTTGTTAAAAAACCCTGTAAAAGAACTAACCACAGCGAATAAGAATATGCCTAATTTTTAAACTCCCCCAATGTTTGTCCGAATTTCAAAAAACTTGTAGTAGTTTAGAAATTATCTCTAATCTCCCAATAAATGTCGATTAGTTTTCCTTGTTCGACTTTCTTAAGTAGTGTAGTAATGTTCAAGAAAACAGAATTTATGAAAATATTTTTTTTTAAATAAATATAAAGAATTTTCTAATTTTATTGTTAGCTGATATAAACTTAAATAAATTCAACAAAAGCATATGAAAAAAGTCCACAGTTTGAGATTTTAAATAAACATAAAAATATTGTTTAATTTAATCACTTTTAAATTAAAATAAAAAAATCAGAAGGGACGTCAAAATATTGGGGTATATTATAATTATACTAAAGATCAGGGGAGTACGAAGAGTCAGCGCATTAAATATTATCCATACAAAAAATAAGAAACTATTTAAAAAACAGAACCTCCTAAATGGATCCTTAGTCCCGAAAGAATAAACAAAAAATTAAATTTTTTTATTTTTTCATTTTCCAGTTAGAATTAAATTATGGGAGGCGGAGCAGCCATGAGAGCCGCGGGTAAGGTCGCCGGGATAGGCGTTTTCAACGGTGGGATTCGTGGCGGCTTGTCTTCTGCAACCGCCGCGGCCCCGCCCGCATCACAATCTCTGCGAAACGCTTCGCGCCCCGTAGGGGGAATCTTGTCGAGCGGGAAGGTTTCCGCTGGAGGTGATGTGGCGGAGGTGCAGAAAGCCTCGTGGGAATTGGATGACTGGGAGTTCGCCGGGGGAGAAAATGATTTTCTGGTGGCGCCAGAGCCGGAATCGTCTGAGCCAATGGCTAGGGTTGTATTTGGGGGTGCGCCAAGCCTTGAGGAGGCTAAGGAAGCCACGTCCGAACTCAAAGAGGCTTTGGATAAGTAATTTGTTTTCCAAAATTTTGATCCGTGTGAATATTTATTCAAAGCTTTATTTTTGTTTTTAAAATTGCATACATTACTGTACCACATCCGTATCTTTAGATGGTAATATAAAAAAGTATGATCATACTTATTATTAACATATAAATTTGTTGTGGTAGATTTTTATGGGTATCTACACCCACAGTTATGGTAAAATTGCGTCCTTCTCAGAATTGATTGTGTTCCCTTGGTGTTTGATAGATGGATTTTGTTTGATTGCAGGGTATATTTTTCATCTGAGAATTCCAGTCTGAGTGAATATGATGGTGTGGTGCCGGTTGCTGCGGTGTCAGAGCTGCAATTGGTTGCAAACTCTGAATCTTTGGAGACCAAGAGCTGTATCTCATGTGACCCAAAATCTGTTACGGTTCCAAAACACGCTTTTCAGGCGTTTAAATTCCTTTGTGAGAATGCTTCAGCTCAGGTCTTTCTGATTCAGTTCCCTCTCTCTTTTTAGTTGCTTATAATTGTTTATGTTTTTGAATGCATATCTTTAGCAGTTCAGTTTCGCCAACTGAGTTGTTACTTTTAGATCATTGGCTTTGACAATAATTTTTTAATTTTGGTTTTGTGACCAGACTGTTGTTGCATCAATTGCTGCTGACTCAAATGTCTGGAATGCTGTCATGCAAAATGACGCTCTTATCCAATTCATACAGTCCCAGAAAAACAGTAAGATTTTTATTAGCAGGACTAGTTTTCTTGAGAGGATCGTTTGTGGAAAGGATGCAGTTGGCCGAATATACTTAATTTTGTTTACTAGCTTTCCTTTGATATGGATCTGAGCATGGATAAACTTTTTGCAGATGATACGTTTCAAGATCAGGGATTTCCCAGAAAGATTGATGAGTTATCTGATTTGAGCAAAGAAGAAGATACTGGAAGCCATTCTGGAGACAGTGGAAGCCAAAGCCAATTTGAGCCCATGGCTGTTCTTCAGAAGATCAAGGATCGAGTGGTTGAGATGGTGAGCAATGTGGGTAATTATCTGCAGAACATCTTTGGCACGCCCGCAGCTGATAAGACTTATGCAGAAGCAGATGGCAATCAAAACTATGTTGAAAAGACGCTGGGAGCTTCTGTCATTGGACTGGTCATAATGGTGATCATGGTGGTTGTGCTGAAGCGAGCTTAAAAATTTATAATCTGGCAAACTACCTGAAAATTTGCCGAGCTTACAAACTGTTTGGAAGTGTACTTTTATTTTGATGCATTAATAGATAATAAAATTTGAGATACAGTAGTTCGTGTGGTTTATACTAAAGTTATGTACAGTACTTCACATTGAATAAATTTGCTTGTTCCTCTCACCATTAGCATATTGCCAAATCTTGTGTTAAACCAGAGATTGTTTTTTCAAGTCATTTAAGTGTTAACTGAAGAAATTGATAACAAATGTTCTAAGCAAAGGAAATCTTTATCAGTAACCGGTTAACAGATGAATTGAATAAAGAAAATTTGAAGTGACTGATATATCACTCTCACGCAACAGGGGAAAACTGAAGAAATGAATTGGCAAGGAAATTTCTGACCAATGCTTTCGCTCTAATGGAATTTTCCAGTACTTGTTTGGAGAGTAGTCATGTTATGCGTATTTTTGTTCCAAAGATACAAAGTAGTCCTTAAAGTGGCACTTTCTCAGAAAGGGCGTTTGAAAAATCATCAGTATGTATTCATGAATCTACAAAACTGAATAGCCATAAAGAATCTAACATAAGAGATTTGAGTTCAATTCATCTCCTATTTGGCCAGGTGCTCTCCATTCTTTGACCACCCTTTTATCGTATTCTTTGAAAGAATCCTTCCTGGTACATTTTTGTTGCTGCATTTATGAGTCACTATTAACGTACATGACATCTTCCTTTGATATATACATCTTCCCTTTATCTCTCCTTCCACTCGTTTGTGTCCGGTCTGGTTGGCCCTTCTGCAAAATATGAAATTTCAATATGGTTGTTATTGCATTCACAGAACTGCAAAAGATACGTACATTTTGAGAGTAAAATACACCACACCACCGACAATGCGGTAAACTCAAGAAATTATACTAACCTTCTTCAGGACAAATGCCAGGTACAAATAGGCCACTTCCCATTCATCTGGTGATAGTGTGCCTAGACATCACAAAGCAAATACAAAGAACAACTATTTAGAACTCTTTAAAGCATGCCTAGAAATGTTTTAAACTAAAAATACATTAATTTTGGGACCTGCATGGGAAAGTTGAATGAAGGAAAAGAAGTACAGGACATCAAACTTACTCTGGTCTTGGTTACCATCACCCAAGGCACCGAGTCTTCGCATGAGTTCCACGTATTCAGGTTTTTTCAAGTACTCTTGGACAAATTCATGTGAGTTCTTCACAAAAACTAGCTCCAATCCATACTGCAAAAATAAATAGTGTAAAATAACAACCTAAAGTATTCAAGTACTAATACTCCTGGTCAACTTAAAGTATTAAAGATATACGTAACTAAGCAAAGAAAGTCGTACCTCTTCTGCCATTGATTTGAAGAGATGGAAGGGAACAATCCATTCTGGGCAATCGACTGCATCCTGCAATAAGATAAAATTTTAATGAGATTTTCAGTATATTACCTCAGTGACTTAGTGCCTTAATGGAAAAATTAAGATACAATTAAAATACTGTAATACCTTATACAGAAGAAGATTAAACATTGTGGCAAGTTGAGATAACATAGTTCAATATAGACATAGATATGTGTGCCATTTAATAGAATTTATTGACAGAGCACAGCTACATTTCAACTTCAAAAAAACCATAAAAATAAAAAATTAGAAATTAAAAGCAAAAAAGAAAGAAACAATACCTCTAGATGAAACTTGTACTGGATGCCGAACGGCTTAGAAGATTTAAATTTCTGTCCACACAATTTTGTCAATACTACATGAGATACAATAACTATGCAATCCAAATCTTTTACAAACCATGTAACTGTTACAAAAGGGAAAAGAAAATTTGACCTTTTCAGAAAATTCTTCATCAAATCGTATCCAGTAGACACTATTACCGATGGCCAATCCTTCAGCTGCATAATCACAATGCAGATAACATTACTAATCAAGAATGAGAAAAGTGGTGTGTCATGCCCAACATTCATAATTCTTATATATGGCAGGAAAGAAAGGAAGAAGTAGAAGAAAAAATTACATACAAGAAAAATATGACCCAGTAGAGAAACAGTTCATAACAATTGAACTGATTAAAAAAAAAAAAAAAACCCAAGGTTAATGATAGAACATTAAATAATTTTTAAGCATTTGTACTTCAAGCTCCTCTATAAAAAAAAGGAAAAAGAAAAGAGAACAATGCTGTAACAAATTTAATGCAGGTAAGGGCACAAGCCTAGAGAGAAAAGCTTATTCCTTAAATGTACAGAATATGTTTTTTTTTTTTGGCATAATTTTGGCTACGTTCACTGTAGAGTGCATCCAATATATGCTTGATGATTATGACAAGTACATGAAGAAATGTCCAATATACAAGGAAGCATAAGTATAACTATGGAAATTGAAATCTATGAAAATAAAAAATCCTTTAAATACAAACCACCAAAAAGAATTTACTACACAACAAGGGAAATCGTGAAACAATGAAAGGATTCCAAATTGTTGGGAGTAAGACCCAGATTTTCATATTTGAAGAATTTTGTACAGATGAGAAACAATCAAAGTAAGGCGCTTGATAAAAACCTTCTCTAAGCTTTTTAACTATCACATTGGCATCTGGCATTGTCCCAATGAAAGTGCCTCCCGGACGAAGTAAAGCAGACACATTGGCCAAGGCTCGCCTTGCACGTGCCTCAGTAGACCAGGAATAATGCATGGCAAACTGCAAAATTAACACAACAATCATTCATATTGAAATTTGATAAAATACTAGAAACCAGAATAAATGATGCCCTATTCATTAATTTGTGAAGGGATTTGTATTTAAAATTTCAATATCTGACAAGAAGCAGTTCCTGGATTTCTTTTACTATACTAACTGGATTTGACTAAAACAAAAATTGCTATAACATTATCAAGATTTCACAGATATTAAGACTCACTTGGCAACTGCAGATATCAAAAGGTGCATCATCTGCTAGGACATTGTCCAGACGAACCTGAAATCAATTTATAAATAACAAAACTTACTAATACTTCCACAAGCACCAGGATAAAGTAATCATTTTGGTAGTTAACCTTGGATATAATTAAGCTGAAATATACTGAATTTCATTGTTCCATAGCTTAGTATGTGTGCATACAATAAGAAAGCTAGATAGAAAGGTGATGAATTTTTCAAAGACTAGTTATTGTTAGTGGAATTACATCATAACAGTCCCCACATATGAGCCGGGCAGGAAAACTGAACTTCTTACGACGCTGATGGTGATCTGCATCACCATTGTAACGTGTACGACAGTCTTCTATCTGTACAAAATGATGGACACAAAAATTAGTTGGCACATTGTAACATACACATACTTAAAGGTGAAGTTGAAAAATAAGGAAGTTAACAAAAAAAAAAAATTGTGTCCTATTAAAATTGAACATTGATTATTTCACGAAGGGAGGTTTCCAGAGGATATCATCCATAAGACTGTCATGCTCAGGATGCCTCAATTTACACAAACATGATGTGGCCACTGGCCACAAGTACAAGAAATCAACAAGCACCAACTCACTTATTAATGTAGCTTAATAATTATAATCCTGTCTACCCAATATACCTAAGCAAAATGGGGGACAACAAACTGAATGTACTTACTGAGCCTTCAGCAATATCAATGCCAACATAATATCCGATCTTTGCCTTGTCCCATTTGATAAGATCACCACCCTAATACATCAAAAAAAGAAAAGAAAAAAAATCCATCAGGGAAAAAAAACGATTAAGAATTTGAACATAATAAGGAACTTAAATACCTTGCCGCAGGCAAGATCAAGAACAGCGTCCCCTCGGCGAGCATAAAGCTGAACTAAGACACTTTTGATCTGTTCAACAAAATAAGGAGTCATACAATTTTTTCACACTTTAATGACATAACATATCATATATGTATTGTAAACTTCATGACATTACAAGGTATACCCAGTTATTAAGTTTCTTCAAGTGAATGATTGGACTCGCTTCTCGTTCTTCCAAAGTTTGATTTGTCCTTGCACTATAGTGGTCAGCTACTTTCCTAGCAAAAACCTTAGTGCTCTCATCCTCCAAAAATTGAGCATCACCTAATATCACAAGAAGCCAAATACTCAGCTTAAATCTTTCATTTAAGAAAGAATAAACAACTTCGAGCATTTCGACATCTAAAAAGAAGCTGAAAATTAAAGTCTTTAATTCACACCTCACAATTTAGCACTCAATAATGGACGCCAAAGCACTATTCCTTAACAAAAACCAAAAGAACAACATAAAACTTAACCTTCAAAGTTCAAACCTTTTTAGTTTCCTCAGCTTTCTGGGCAACCAAACAAAAGCTAAACCTTCGTAAACTCAAAACCCATGTCCAAATAAAGAACACATTAACCAAAAAAACCCAGCTTCAAATAAGGTACGCAGTTTTATTTTCTTTTCAGAGACTAAAGCCAACAAACTACAAAACCCATGTTCAAAAACTATCTAACTAAGCAAAAACGTAACTAAACAAAAAATCAAGACAAGACAAATAAGGGTTCAAAACTAAATTTAACCTTCTGGGTTGTGTCTGAATCTGGATTGAGGCGGCCCGTCTGAGGTAGATGGAGACTCGCGATACCCTCGTTTCATAGCAAATTATGAGTAATGAGAAATAAGTTACAGGGTTTTACAAAAACAAAAAGTGTTTTTTGTATTTTAAAGTTGTGATTGAGAAGACAAAAAATGAAAAGAGCAAAAGTGCAAAACTGAACAAAATTAAGTTTGCTGGAGGCTGTTAAGTGCCGCGATGGTGATGTATGACAAACAGAGAGGAACATTCAACGACGGTCGTCGTGCGCCCACTGGATCTTATACCCAGAAATTAAGGACCCGTTTGGGACCTGGGATAAGAATAGTTTTTCTCTGTTATCAATTTATCCCTTATGATATTTCTTTTTTGATGACGAATGTGGTCTTAAAAAGTTAAAACTTCAATCAGTTATGATTCTATTTTCTCTTTGTTTCTTTTAAGTTAAATTTGGAAGTCCTTGCAAAATTGATTACAGTAAAAGAATATCTACAGTTTATTTATTTATATTAATTTTAATTTTTCTTTTTTTAATAACTGAAGTATTCGAATCAATTTACGTACATTTCGACTATTAAAAATAAATGAATTATTTTTGCGCCTAGCAGGGAACCTAAGACTGAATATTGGACCATTTACAATGCCATTGATTCGTCTTTACCGTTGGGATACCCATGAGTGGATATTTAAGTTTCTATTTGTATTTTAGCTATAAAGAATACTATAAATTTAAAAAATAAATTGATTTATAAATTTTAAATATGTAAAAGAGTTTTCTTATTAATTTTGTGAGATTGTATCTAAATCAATAATTTGAATGATTTATGTTTGTACTTAAGAACACCAATAGCAAGTTTGGAAGTGGTTCCAAAGAATAATTATCATTGTTATATTGACATTGTAATGTGATTAAGGTGAATTTGTATCTAGAATCTTGTGGAGTTGACACCAATTCTCCTCCAAGTTTGCAAGGTTTAAAGGTGAATTTATCCGATCTGAATGATATGCATATGGATTTGTATTCTTCCAGTGACATTAGTGCCAGTGGAGCAGCTCATTTTCTTAGTAAATTTATGAGGACGAATTATAATTTTAAGCCTCTAATTCTATCGCAATCTACTTATTCAATTCATGGAATTCTAATACTAATGCAATATCTATGTTTAATTTGGTGTAGCTTTTGGGATATAAAAGCTATTTATTGGATAATTTGCCAAGTTTTTACAATCTCTCAAGCATTTGGAGTTTACCCTGTCTGCCATATTAGAGGATAGAATTGGGGTGATTGCTCGCCTGAACAGAAGCTTTCCTATTCTTCAATCTCTTCCCATAGAATATGTTTATTATTTGAGGGAAGAATCATGGAGAACTATGAAGCCAAAAGGGTTCCCTTCTCTTTGTATACCTCCAAGTTTGAGATGGATTACAGTAGATCATTATTATGGACTGGGGAACCGAGTTTACTTTGTTGAAGTCTTGTTAGCAAATGCACAATTCTTGGAGATGCTTAGTTATCATATCAGTGAATGTCAAAATCGTCCTCGGTAAAGGAAGATGGGTTGCCGGATTTGCTTTGGAAACCATCATTGCCGTTACCAAGACTATCAGTTGCATCCTTAAATTTTATCCAGCTCCACCCGTAAAAAGGATCCCTTTAAACTTCTGTGTGTAAATCTATAGAGGCTCACTTAATCAAGAAATATCAGTTACTCCGTCTGAGATGCTTCTTGGTATTAAATACGGATGTTTTGTATTAGATTTCATCCTGAGCTCCCTATAAAGTTTTTTTTACCTTGAAAAACTTAGTGTCTGTTTGATATAGAATCAACAATGCATGGAAACCTGCTAAATTTATACAGTGATCTACAAGGCTTTGAATGATAGCAAGGAAACATATTAAAATTGAATGAAATTCTTATACTGCCGCAGTATAGCGGTTTGTACAATAGAGATAATTGAGTCATTGCTTCCCTACTCTGCGCTTTCCTTTTCTTCAATCTCTCGGCATAAATTTATATTTGAAGGATAGTATGAGAGAAGAATGAAGTGTTAGAATCACAGCGCAATACAACTAATTGCTCTGATACCATGTTAAAAATCGGAGAGTAAAACATAAAAATAAAGAACAGCAATAACAATATAAAAAGGCACACGATATTTTACGTGGTTCGCATAACTGCCTACATCCACGGATGAGAGGGTTTTCACTATAATAATGTAAATACGATATAGTGTTTTATCACACCATCAACCAGTACCTTTACTTAGGCGGACATCCGTTCCTATGGTGTTTAATACCCTTTGTTATTTACTCGATACCTGTAGTACCCTTACCTCAAACCCCTTGTATCCTCCATTCTCTCTTTCTCTTATTCCTCTCTCATTATCTTGAATTGATTCTAACTCCCTTATTTATAAGTAAAATAAGACATTCTTTTCTATTAGTATCATATTCTCTATCCTAATAGAACTCTTATAATTTAAATCATTCTCTTATTTTAACTTAAATAAAGTCCTAAACAAATTCTTCTTTCCTAGTAAACTCAAAGAAAAGGAAAACAAATATTCTTCAATTACAAATTCCTAAACTAGAAATTTGCCCAAAACTTAAATTCCTTTTCTTCTTGTTGGCCTTTTCTTCTTACTTGCCTTTCCTTCTTGATGCCTTTTCTTCATCAATTACCAAAAGTGTTCATATTCCAACATGAAGCCAGAAGAATTTCCTTCTTTTTTATACCTCCAAGTTTGTGGGATTGTTCTTGACAAATGCACAATTCTTGGAGAAGCTCATTGATCATGTTGATAAATATCCCCAAAATGATCCATTTTGTTAAGTTCCTAAACCATGTTAAGTGAAGAGGGGATGCAAATTGTTTTGGGTGAACAAATAAACTCTTACCAAGGCTATCATCTAGTTTTATCCTCAAAATTTTGTTAAGTAAATTCAAAAATTCTTATATATGTCCTTATTTATTTAAAGCATTATTAGTGTACTGTAATTTAGATATATAGACTTAGAACACCTTTTAATGAAGAAATATTGTATTTTAGCAGAAGAGTAAGCGAATTTTTCCCACCCACGGTTTGCCTTAATAACATTTTTCCACCCTAAAGTTTCAAAATACCACTTTCCAACTAAAGTTTATATTTCGTTTAATACCCAAAAACATTTCACTTTCTTAGCCGGCTTCGACGAGTTCCAAGAGCCAAATAAGAGTTTTTGTAGAGTGGAGACCGGTGGATTGATAGTAGACTGATAAATATTAGCCACTGAATAAGTAGAAAATTAGCTAAAAATGGAAACCCTAGATTTACGATGCTGAAAATGACAAAAATCAAGGGTCGGAGTGAGAGGGATTTTATAGAGAGGAGATTGGAGGTTTAAATTGGTGACGAAGTGAATTTTTGCTATTAGAATCAACTTTGGATAATAACATAATATAAACTTTGGGTGAGAAAATGATATTTTAAAACTTTTTAGGTGGGAAAGCCACTGAGGCAAACCTTGGGTGGGAAAGAGTTGTTTACTCTTTCGCAGAAATGTCAAATCAAGTTAACACACTTGGACGGCGTGTCGTATGTGACTAAATCTTGTATAATTTCTTTTTGTTAAAATATTCATGAAATGTTAGGGCCTTTAGGGTATTATCCCAAAAATTTTCATTGTTGGGTTAATATCCCATTTTCATTTCCAAAAGATAAAATGGAACATATATGTATTGGTTGAGAAAAAAAATCTTCCTTTGATTCTTTCTTATTTTCTAATTTTGTAAGAATGGTACATGTTTGCTTGATACAGAAACTATAATTAAATTTGGTTGCTCTGATCAGTTTGTAACCTGAGTACAGACTTGAACCATTTAGCTGAAGTTTTAGGAATTCTTGTCAAGTTGTTTTTGTAATCCACAAAGTACAGTCCAAAACGGACAGTATAGCCAGAGTTCCATTCCCAGTTGTCAAGCAAAGACCAAATAAAGTAACCTCTTACATCACATTTGTCTTGCCTGTAATGTCAATCATTCAGTTTTCTGTTAGCCACCTCAAACAAAAAGTATAGCATCTATTCTTTCGATGATGTTAACTGTAGGAATTCAAGTCAAATTGGTTGATAATTTGCCATTACCTTATTGCAGCAGAAAGGTTTGAAAGATAGTCTCTATGGTATCTTATTCTCTTGTCATCCTGTAAAGCCTTGTCTAAAGCTATCAAGGGACTATTTAGATCGTCCATACCTGTAACCATGAATTGAAACTCATATAACATATCAAAGAGTTCGAATTCAAAGCTTTTGAATACAAAAATACTCACCATTTTCTGTTATAACTACAGGAGGATTCCCATACTTATCTTTAACATATTTCGCCAACTCTCGGATGCCCCGTGGCACGATGTGCAGCCAGCGGGAAGCTGCCTGGAGGAGCAAGTGTATATCAGGCTATCAGCTGGCTTTTATTTGAAACCTATAATTTATATCTTAGACCCCAGTAAGTTGTTTGGACATACTCTTTCTCCGATTGCAATTCCACCACGAAAACCTACAAGTCAAGAGATGAAAGAAGATCATCAGCTTCTTTCAATTAATTTGACAATGTTTAATCTTTGAATGTAAAGAATTGTTGCTTGGTTTCTTACAAGTAGTAATAACAGCAGCATCAGAGTAAGCATCCTGCAGAATTAGTTTCTGAATTCCAGTCCTGTCATTCCGGGCATATAATGTGGTGTAATGATTTAGGCCAATAAAATCCAAGGACCCCATAAGTACTTTGGAAATCTCTGGTGAAATCTTTGGTAGTCTCTCGCCAACAAGCCTTGTCATTGAAAATGGATATTCTCCAAAGAAAAGTGGATCAAGGAACCTGATTCACAATTTTGTTATACTTAAGGAATTGATTCCTCGTAAAGTGTGGTGAATTGGATATTTGCATAAGATAATAGTAATACCATCCAATTCCAAAATCTACCGCTCTTTTTGCTGCATCTTTGTCCTCATCTTTATCAGATATCGGTTCATACCATTTAGCATTAAGTGCTATCCCAATTACACCTCCTTGTTCTTCCTGGAAAATCCCATGTATAAGTAAATTGAAAAGAAAAGCACAAATGTAAATTTAACAGGAGAATCAAAGAGGTATTGTAAAATGCTCCTCTTATTTTGTTCCTTTTTTGTGAAAATTAGTACCTTGAAATTTCTCTGGTAGCTATGATAAGCAGCAGCATGAGATAGCAAGATGTTATGAGCTACAATGTAAGGTTCAACTGCAGACTTTCCTATCTTACAAAACACATGCCCGAAAATGGAACATCTACCAGGGGCTTGAAGGCCTGTGTCA